GAGAGAGAGAGAGAGAGAGAGAGAGAGAGAAGGAGTGCGAGTGGGGAGAAGATAACCCGTGATAAGACGAAATGATCCATCGGAGCGGTTGACCAAAGTGATCTTGGGTCATGTCCAGTAATTGCGGTCAGTCTGGCCAGTGATCTGCGCCCAACAAATGACCAGTGGCAGACCAAGTGACCGTAAGGAGGGCTTTTCATCTGGTAATGATATTTTACTGTAGAGATGGAGATCTCAGCTTCTGTTTGGTCACTTGATCATGTTGGAGTTTATGTGGTTTCGCGATTTGTGGAGAGTGCGGTGTGGGAAGGGGGTGGGGGTGGGGTGGTAGGAAATGGACTACGCATAAATGCACATGTAGACATACACACCCGTACGCCTATATATTTATATTATATAATATATCATACACATATATACATAATCATACCTGACTAATGCACATGCGGACAGATACACATCGACACCATTAACCAAACACAATCTTTCAAAAACAGTTTTAAAGCTGTGGTTTTTAAAGACTAACTTTTTTTTTCAATCTCTACAATTGTTTGAAGGCAGATTCTGAATGGTCAAAAATTGTCTTGGACTTTCTTGTCATTACTTACTACTACTACTACAGTTAATGGAAGAGACCAGGTGAATACTCCACCAGTCATTTTATTTAACAGGCAACATCATCCTTTATTGTAATACACTAGAAATACAAAGGGGGCTCTCGTGGCCTAAAGGTAAGGTGTTCGCATCAAATTCAAAGGTCCTGGGTTCAAATCCGGGTAGCAATGGAAAAAATTTCTACTCTAAAATTGTCTCCTTTCACCTCCTTTCTTGCTCTCTAGCAATATTCTGTCATCTGCTTTCGTCTCCACTTACTGCCTCCACCCCCTTTGCCCTCCTTCTGGGCTCCTGACTCTTTCTGCTGCCTTTCTACTGCTACTCCTTGGCTCCTTCTTACTGCTGTCTTTCAGCTACACCCCTGATCTTGTGGTAGGAAAGATCTACACCTAGCTTACTCGGACAAGGGCGAAAAATCTTGGAGGTCCCGAGAGCAAGCTGCAAACATTAAAGATCCCTTGGTGGTCTAAAATCGATAGGAGTAGGATTCAGCCGCCACTCGGGCAAAATTCAAAATTTCCTACCAACTGAAAATGTTTAAAGTGTCCTGCACGCTTATATGACCTTATGCAGTCTTAAAAAGACACAATGATCGAACCTGCTGTAGCTACCACACCTATCTAAGACATTCATCTGTATAAAGGACCACTTCCCACTTTGCATTTTTGTCTACAAATTGACGTTAGTTATTTATAACATCACTGCCCAGGAAGGCCACTTTTCTCCTTAATTGCCTTCCTCGGGTTCTACAGTATAAATTTTTTATAAATATTCAACATTCTTTTTTTTAACTTTCACAAAAACAATTTTCTTCAAGGCTCTGATGATAATGATGACATATCCTGTGACAATTAATCATTCAGGACAAAACGGTGACGGAGATAGATTCGCATTTAGTGAGTGGCCAGTTCAGTCATCAACTTCTACATTTCAGTGAAAACTAAGCATGAATGGTCGAGCAACAGCTGCAAAAGTTATCCTGTGTTCCCTGTCCTTTGATAGACAAGCTCAATTCACGTAGTGGGCTATGTCAATATATATTTTCTGTAATGCAAATTTCGCTGTTTTGTATACTTGTCAACAACCAGACTAAATAAATATGAAACATGATGAAAGCCAACTATATTGATCAACCTTCTTCAACACATCAATCAAAAGAAAATTGCAGTTTGTGAAGTTAATTTTGATTCCAATATACTTTAAGTTTACAATCATAAAGTTCTGGCAATGAGTCTATGTCAAAGTCATCAGGAATCCTCACCTTAATAAAATTATTTTATTCTCTTGACTACCCTACCCCTGACGCTTGGCAGGGCAGCACAAGCAAAGAAGAAAACATATCAATTAAAAGCATCATGATCAAACACATTATTTACTTAGAAAAGAAAAACTGTAACCAAAGGCAAAATGAACACAGATGTACAGAGACGACCTCTATTTATGACAGACCACATACATGCCAAGATCTCTTAGAAACCTAGAAACTGTTAGTATAAGTATCACACAAAAATATATTGATTTTGATTTGCTTTAACACCAATACAATTTTTTGTGTTTTCGGCTTAAAAAATCGATTTCCAGATTTTGCGTGGGACACACCAAACATTTTCAGTTGGTAGGAAATTTTGAATTTTGCCTGGGTGGTGGCCGAAGCCTACTCTTTTATCGACTTTGGACCATCAAGGGATCTTTAACGTGCGCAACTTGCACACCGGACCTCCGAGTTTTTTCGAATAAGTTACGTTAGACAATTATCATAAATAAAATATGGGACCTAAAATATAATGAAAGGTAGACTTACTAGGCTTAGTCGTTGTGTCATTGTATCTCAAAATCTGCGCCGACAAATTAGTATACAGCAGCGGCGCCGGAGAATAGCTTCCGATCTATTGACCAGCGCGGCGCCGGATAATAGCCACTTGCATTTTTTAAATATATAGCCTCTATACCAAACTTGATCTAGATTCTACATCATGTTCTAATGAATTACTATGGTAATGGTGAAGTACCACACGTACCACAAATGGAGGTAGATTTAGAGTGTAAACCTAGCACTGACCAATCACCACTCCCATTTCAGAGAGGGAACTTGGACTAAAAAGGTTTTAGGGAAGGGAGTGTATACAGACCCGGTAACCGGGAACAACAAAGTCGCAAAGTATACAGACCCGGTAGGGGAACTCTTTTGTGATTTCGGAAAGTTTCAGCGCCCTCTTGGCTCAGGGTCACAGAATTCTGTGCTCAGGGTAGACCTGACATAAATCATTGATCTAGTTTCGAGGCTAGCCTAGGTCTAGATTTCTAGATCTAGAATCTAGATCTAAATGAAGACTGCGGATGTCTTTTCGATGAACGATCGTTTTTCTCCGTTTTGGAGTTGATGGAATCACAATTTGAAGAAAAGAACAAAGTCATAATTTCAATCGAACAGTGACCCTCTCTATTTTTCTCTGCATCTCTCTCTCTCTCTCTCTCTCTCTCCTCTGAGTATCGCTCGCCTTCTCTTTTTCTTTGTTTGTCTTTGTCTTTCTCTCTCCCCACCTATTTCCCACACTATCTTTCTCTCGTTCCCTCCTGCCAACTGGGGCATGTCATATAGATTCTATATATATACATTTTGCTAGCACCTCTCTCTCTCTCTCTCTCTCTCTCTCACACACACACACACACACACACACACTACCGGGTCTGGTCGCTGAAACTTTCCGAAATCACAAAAGAGTTCCCCTACCGGGTCTGTATACCTCATGATGACTTTGTTCCCGGTTACCGAGTCTGTATACACTTCGTTTAGGGAAAGACAGGCATCATCTCTAACTGTGAACAGTCTAACCACACCCTCAGCCCTTCCCATTCATTCCTTCTCACTCCACCTTTCATTTCATAACCTTTCAATTTCAAGGCTTGAACTTGAACTTAAACAGTTCACACTACACTACTCGTCCCTACCCTGTCTCTACTCTCTGACTGAGCTTAAAACTCTCCTAAGTGCGGTTCTTTACTGTTATTACGAGTTGGGTTTTAGTTTTTATGGTTATGATTATGATGATACAGATAAGTTCTGATAAGTAAAAGTCTCAACCGAAAGATCAGAGACAGTAATGATGGGAGTTCTCACCTTGTTGTTTTCCAAGGCCTCTGCAGAATGAGCCTCTTTAGCTGCAAAACAGTGTTGACACTTCGTTTTGTTGAAAATATTCGGAAGAAATTTATTGCACTTCGATGCCATGTTGACGTCTGTTTTTTGTTTCAGTCGACTGACAGAAGCTAAACTGAAAAACAACCGGCGATAATCCACTGAGAACTCCGATCCTTCGAAACTTGAATTTTCTCACCCTGCACCGACTCCAGCTGAGTATTAGGAGCGGGGGGCAATGTCGATGTTACTGACACACTCTTCGACCAAAAACCATGTAATCACACATCAGGTGCACGATATGAATGATATATCCATTCTGTAAAAGTTACAAAAGGCATTCTCTCTGATCTGTCAGCAATTGTATGAATTTCAAAACCTCAATTCATCTCAGGTGCGTTGGATTCCCATCTTGTTTACAGTACAGAGGAACACCGGAACCGCATCTGAACACAGCTCAGTTTATTCCCTATTCCTTTGATCGCAGAACGCACTACACACTTTGTGGATGAATAACACGGTAGAATATAGTTCGCAGTCTGTTAGCATTTATCAACAAAGTCATAATTTTCTAAACATTTTTATCAATTTAATAATTATAGACATTTTATTGTCAAAAAGTACAAAAATTATAAAAATTCAGTTACATCGAAATTGGTGTTCCATTTTATTACACCTGGACAAGGTGAAATTGGAACGATATAAATGCGCATCTTTCAAGAGAGCATTCTAAATAACGGGAAATAAGAAATGTATTACTATTCTGCGGTGTGGTGTTTGTTTTCTTGATTCATATTTTTTACGTGAATAGAATACTAAAAGTCCTGATCCTGCTCAATATCCTGTCCTTCTCCAACTCCAGCTCACATTTTTGCACCTTTGTACGCTTGTATTCACAAGTCAAACATTTCAAATCAGGGAATCAGTCAGAGACCCCGGGACTTGCCATGGCCATTAATCAGCTGTTTCACTTCACTAAGTCAACCTTAAGCTAATTGTTATGTTTTTGTAAAGTAAGAAACGTGCTGGTGGTTTATTTCTTTGGGTGTCTTTGTTTTGTATCGGGGTTGTTGGGTTGTTGTTATTGTTGTTTGGTTGTTGTTGTTGTGGTTTTTTTGGTTGTTGTTGGGGGGTTTTT